ATTTGTAACTCTAAATCGTCCCTAGAGGAGAGTGAGAGAGTGAATGATTGTTTGTCTCATTTGTCTAATTTGTCTTTATGTGATCCTGGGATGGATCTGCAACCTGCTCAGGGTGTACCCCACCTCTCGTTTAGTGACTAGCAAAAAAAAAGATGAATGGATGGACGTACGGACGAACAAATGGACCCCCAAACTGAGAGGGTGGCTCCAGGAGATGCGGGGAGCAGCTTTGAAGATGTTGTTTTTTAGAAGACTGATGCCATAAAACAGAAAAATTACACTCTTGGAGGCTAATCACCCATGAAAAAGACATTTATAAACACATACAGTATGTTTGCATATTTGAGCTGCTGTAATCCATCAATCTTTTCCTCCAGTAATTATTTTCTCATTAGCTCCTGCTCTCCTACACCTGAATACAGGACACTTTTCCCAGGCTGTGTTCGAGCTGGCGTGGCTTTAATTGTTTATGGTCATTTAACTTCTAAGGCTGGAAACTCACTGACATGTTGGCTTCGAATATTAACACATCACTTATTGTACCGTAAAGATTAACAATAAGGCAACAATGTGGCTGAAAGAAGGGACATGTAAAGATCTTAGCACTATTTTTTTTTTTTTTCAGATTTTAAGCCACTAGAAACTGCAATATTTACTCACTGGAACCATTGTCTGTGCAAAGTTATTGTTGTAATTCATTTATGGCAACGTTTTGTTCAGAAACCAACTTGATTGGCCTTTTTGAACCCATAAAAATGCATTTATTGTTTGGCAAAAGTAGTGGTTTGGGCAACATGTTCAATAAAACATTGTTCTTACCATCCTGCCTCTTTGTTATGGAAGTGAACCAAAGCACGTTACTTCATTCTTGTTTAAATTTAAAGCATTGGCATAGTGTATTAACACACTGCATGCTCACAATACTATTGGGGGTAAAACGATAAGCTTCAAATAACTGAATGAAGGCTCAGACTAGTCACCACAGTCACAAGAGTTAATAAAATCACACACATTTACCCCCCTGTAATGTAGACCAACATGCAGTAACAATTAGACCTTTTATTGAGGCTGCCTGTAAAGGAAGTACTTTCACAGTTACTCCATAAATGCTCTTTCTTTTACAACCTGCTAATTCTGAGCCATCACAGCATGCATGTTCACCGTTGCAACATGCTAAATTTAGTAAAATATAAAACATGTTTGCTTCAATTCTCCACATTTTACTACTATTTTAGTATATTAATGATATGAAAAATTTAAGGGTTACAGTTTGTAACAGTTTGCATTGTTTTGGAAATCCTTTACATTTGAAAACCCGTTTATAAATTATAGTATCTAATGGGTGTCAGTATTTTAGTAAAGGTGTAAAGTTTATTTTTTTAAGAATCTCTTAAAAATATTTTTACTTTTGTGATTTAAATAAACTGTAACTTCTGCTTAGTTAGCAGATATGAGTGCATTACTTTCTGCACATCCAGTTCAGCATAACTGACAAAATGAAACGATTAACAAATCTAATCCAGTCAAACCTAAAGATAAATAAAATAGATTTTTTTTTTTCAGATAATTGCCAAGTTTGTTTTAGTTTAGGATTTTAGTTTTGGCCTAAATTCAGTTTTCAATACTTGGAAAGAAAATGTAAACTTGCAAAAACTGGATTTCTTTCTCGAAACGTTTCGGCACCATCTACAAAAACAAAGAAATGTTTTCCAACATCATGATTTGTTTGACTTTTGTGAACTTTTTTTTTTTTTTTTTTTTGGCATTCAGAATGCTGTGCTGCATTCAAAAATATGATTTATGTTGTGAATCAAACCATATATTTTTAGAATAAATTCTCTAAGGGATGCACGGCATCGAGGCACAACTTTAGCTGAACGGCACACACAAGCTGTATGTTTGCTTTGGCATCTGCTAGCCTGAGCAGTGGTCGTTTTGTATGCTCTGCACACATAACACTTCATCAAACGCTGCTGCTGCTTTCGTCGCTCCCTTTCGGGGTAATGTGTCAAACAGTAGCGACTTCCTGTGCACTTTCGGCCTCCTGACGCTGCTGCTTGTCAGTAACATGATAACAAGTGTAGCAGGATCCAATCAAGAACGGAGAGTGTATAAGGGAATGTAGATACTGTGTGGTGGAAGTCATGAGTGGATCTCCTCATTGTTTGGTCAGATTAAATAAAACACTCTGCATATGGGGCCTGAACACACAACTTATTTGTCTACGCTCTGCTGCGATGAAATACAAAGAGTTACTGGTCCCCCAGGATTGAATAAAGGTTGGGGTGAAAATCCAGCAGGACCAGAATAAAAATATTACAGTTTGCTTAAACACTGAATGATTTTATCCTGTTTGATTAAATTTGTCCAATCATGGTAATGTATTTGTTAAAAAAAAAAAAAAACACTGTGTAAATTGTGTCAAGTTTAAAGAAGCTATATGTTGATTTAAAGATATTCTGTGAAATAATCTCATCTGCCGCTTCATATAAAATATGAAATACATCACAGATTTTTGTTGTTGTTGTTGTTTTTACATGTCACAAATCAAATTTTGGGTAATAATTAAAGGTACAGCATTCCTTGAAGGAATAAATACTGTATCCCCAAACGCATTTTATGACATATTTATCTACTCATCACCATCTTACATTGGAAAATTATAGAGTTCTAGGCATTTTGGTCAAACTTTTACAATACCCCTTCTTGTTTGCTCTGGTGATGAACCGACAAACAGAAGAGGTCATGCAGGAATCCCTGAGGACTATGATGTTTGCAGATGACATTGTGATCTGTGGTGAGAACAGGTGGAAGAGAATTTAGAGAGGTGGAGGTAGGCACTTGAAAGAATAGGAATGAAAATCAGTTGTAGTAAGACAGAGTACATGTGTGTGAATGAGAGGGAGGCCGGTGGAACAGTGAGGCTACAAGGAACAGAGGTCACAAAGGTGCAGGACTTCAAGTACTTAGGGTCCATTGTCCAAGGCAATAGGAATAGCGATAAAGGGGTGAAGAGAGTGTAGACAAGATGGAGTGTTTGGAGAACAGTTGCAGGGGTAATTTGTAACAAACGGTTGGCAACAAAGGTCAAAGAAAAAGTTTACAAGAAAGCGATGACATCTGCTATGTTGTATGATTTGTTGACAGTGGTATTGACAAAAATAAAAAGGAACTGTTAGGCAGAATGAAAATGTTGAGTTTTTTTAGGAGTGACAAGGATGGATAAGATTAAGATTAGGAATGAGATCATCAGAGGTACAGCACAGGTTGAACGACTGGGAGATAAAGTTAAAGAGGCCAGACTGGGAAGGTTTGGACATGTCCAGAGGAGGGACAGTGGGTATATTGGTAGAAGGATAAGAAAAGGAAGGCTAAAGAGGAAATAGATGGATTCAATCAGAGGACATAGAAGTAGTTGGAGTCAGGACAGAGGACACGGAGGACAAAGTGAGATGGAGAAGGAGGACTTGCTGTGGCAACCCTTGAAAAGAGAACAACAGAAAGAAGAACAAAACGGGCAATACTGTGGTATTTCTCAAGATGTATTATCGCTTGGATTATTGTAGAGAATAACTCTCAGTATACTACAGCATATTATCACTATTGTCACTGGAATTGGGATGAGTCCAAAGTTAATCAGTAGCAAATGTACATCTAACTGATTTTTTACAGCTTTACTAAAATACAGCGAGCTGTTCATGCAGCATTTTCCCAAGACTACAGACATGGGCCTCCAGTGGCGGGCAAAAATCCCCCAAAGCCTTAAAATACTTTTCTGTAATCACATCACTCTACCTGTGCAAAGTCGATTGCCCACAATCCCTGTGATTTTCTTTCTCAGAGAAAGTGGTGGGTGCCTCCATGTAGAAGAGGTGATATTCTGCTTGCATCCTTTCTGTACATTTGCTGTGCCTCAGTGCTGCAGGCATGCTGAGCCGGGTGCCACATGAATCTGGCAGTGGCACGGCAGCCCCGTCTAGAGACAAGGTGATACGGACTGGAAATAATGAGCGTGAAAGAAAGAGTTAAGAGGTGCACTCATGCACAAATTTTCTGCACATTAAAACGCGGCATGGCCTTGCGGAAAGGTCATGTTATTCAATAAGGACTTGAACCAGTGCGAATAGGAGGCGGGAGGAGTCGAAGATAATGTGTGTAGGTACACAGCTTAGTGTCTGCGCTGCACTTCATTATCTCTCATCACTCCTGATATCATGTCAGAGTACGGCAGATGACATCTGACTGCGAGCATGTTTGAGGGAAGGGATTTTCTTTGTAATCGTCGTGTTGCCACAACCTTTCTGCTTTCCTGTTTGATAATAATTACCCAGATTCACATCAAACCATTTCAACATCAAGCTTTCAATTACCGACGTCTCTCCTGTTCACAATTTAATTTTCTCTTTTTACAATCAGATCAGATTACAACAGGAAACATGGCACTGTTGCTTTGAAGAGAAGGTGTAAAATGGGAGAATAGCAGAGAACACAGATGACGAGGGTTGGCCCTTCCCCAGGTGTTCCATCATAAGGGAGCACGGTGCCTCAGGATTAGAGATGTTAGTTCTGGTGATTTAGAGAAAGGTTGAGAGCAGAAGGGGCCCGCTGAGCTCTGTCCATGTCACGGTTCAGGATGACACGTCGGAAGCACGCAGTCGGCAGTGTGTTTGTCCACGTGACAAACCAGATGAGATTCAGTCCACCCTGAGGACTTGACTCACACATGCCCTTCTCCCTGCCACTATACACCCCCCCCCCCCCCATCTCTTCACCAAAAGTGTCCAATTTCAGTTTGCTCTCACTAGTGTCTCTCCAGCGAGAGCCTATGCAAAAGCAGGGATGGCTGCCGTTGCAACAAAGCCACCAACTCGAGATCTGTCCAAAGGCAAGTGCAGGCAGGACTTCTCATTATAGAGGGCTGTGGAAGGTGAGGGGGGATCTAAAGCATGGCAACCCCTCACTGTGCTGAATGTCATGTTGTCTTTTCACTCTCTTAACAGGACCGACCTCCCACCTGCCCACAAGCCCGCCCCGCCCCCTCCCAAAAAGAAGAACAGCGACATGAAGGGTCACATGACATCTGATGACATCCAGGTGAGACTTCTCATTTTCAGCTTGTCATCTTTGGTCAGTATATCTCCACATTTTGTTCAGAACTATTAGAGGTGCATCAAATTATTGCAGAATTACTGGCCTTACTTTACTTGAATGTGACAAATGTATTCATGCATAGATGTGCAAAACACGCTGGTGCTGCTGAGTGTTACCATTTCTATTCTCTTACAAAATGATTTCAGTGTGCATCAGTCAGTCTCATGTTTGAAACGTAGAGGACAATGTTAGTTTAATCAAATCTGAACTTGCCTTTTCTCCACATGTAGTCACAACAGTCAGCGCTAACTTGTTTCAAAGGGAGTTCAGTTCCATTGTATCTGGACATCCTACTATAGCGATGTCTCAGAGTGAAGCCGTTGACATGTAGGGTTAAAAAAGTAGTACCAATTAGTTTTTCTTTTCTAATTAACAGGATAATGTTAGTCAGTTTTGACAAAAACACTGAACCGTGTGAAAATCATTTTTCATTGAAAGCCTTGAGACATTTTTTTTTATTCCTAGAGTTAAAACAAAAGATGTAAAAAGCTGTGGTTGTGGTTTCTGCATACATTAGTTCTAATAGGTACGATGTGTTAATTTAATCCATTTGATTTGAGCATCAGTTTGTACATGGTGAAGACTGAAAAGTACCACACAGAGCTGGTAAACAGCTTTGTTTTTCATCATATTTCTTAAACCTCAAGACCTCATCATCTCAACGAGTAATCAGACACCAACTGATTGTCAACACTGAGCGGTTTGGCAAGAAAAAAATGATCTGTTTTTTTTTTTAGCAGTAATCTGTGGAAAACAAGCAACACGCTCGCCCACACTTTCTTTGATGCAGATGTTTGAGTAGTGTATCTTGCTGGTATCCTGCAGTTATTTAGCATATTTAGATCAACAGGGCAATGCCTGTTCTATCTACATAGATTAATTTTTTTTTTTTTTTTATGTAGTAATGTGAAAATAAAACTAGATATATTGTTGTGTATAAGTTCCAATGATCTCAGTGGCTTTTAAATGTTTAGTCAGCTGGAAAAAATCTAAATGTGACCAACTTCTTAGGGTGCATTCACACCAGCCCTTTCATTCATTCATTCAACCTTTATTTATACAGGTTAATCCCATTGAGCCTCGGGGACCTGGCTCTGTTAAGTCCACTAGCCTTTTAGTTCGCTTTAATCGAACTCTAATCCATTTGCCTAGAAAGTCCAGTTCATTTGGGGATGTGTGAATGTGCAATCGTACTCTGATACGGACCAAAAAAGCGAACTCTGGTTCGTCTAAATACCTAGATCTCGGTTTGGTTGAAGTGAACTCTAGCGCGGTTTGAATGCATTGTGAATGCAAGTGGACCGAAGACCGCTCCAAAAGCAGGAAGTGGACTACAGCGCAGGGCATTCTGTGTAAATACAACCAAAATAAACACACATTTCTCATATATACGGAGCCATCTCAGCCGCATTCTCCACGGTCTTTTCCCTCATCTTCCACTCATGCAGAGTCCATTGTTGAAAAAAAAAAAATGAAAAAAAAACGCTAAAATTTGACGCCACTCCATTTTTGTTTTTATTTCCAGAAGTAAGTCACACTCATTGTCTTCTTCAGAGGTTTTCGTGTTGTTTCTTTAAGTAGTTCTTGCAGCGCCACCACAGGCGAGGAGGGGGGAACAGGTTGGCTCGATTGATTTAGTGCAGTGTGAATGTCAACTGCACCTGCTGAAAATGAAAAACAAATGTTCCGAATATTGGTCCCAAATCAAATCGAGTCTACTGAACTATCAGGTGTGAAAACGACCTTAGTCACTTTTGCTTACTTGAACAGAACCAGTTTTTGTTAAAACAAACAAATAACTAATGGTGTCATAATAAAATCTTGTACCATTTTTACCATTAATAGCGTGCATGCTGACCTAGTCTGCATGTGTGGAATGTTGAGAATCAAATTGTATGTTTAACATATACATTCATGACAATATACACCAGAGGCAAACAGTGCATTTCACAGCTATGTCTTCATGGTGTCCTACATGAATAAGTTTATCTCTTGATACCATGATCCTGAGATTATGGTGTCCTGATCCAAAACTAGTATTGGGCCCAATACCAATCTCAAGTAGTTGTACTTATACTCATAAAAAACTGTGTAATGTTTAAGTACTAGCTCATTAGCTACTCAGTATCCGTACTCAGTATCGGTTACATGAACTTGTACTCAGTCTGAAAAAACAAAAACTAGCATTGGGACACCCGATTATTACACAGAAACACAGCAGGCCATTGCATCGCAGATCCATGTTTTATAGCAATCATTAACCTTTAAAGCTCAAGTCCAACTATCAACCTTTAAGTCTTATTTTACTCCACAGATGCCCAACATGCAGCATCAATACATCGAACCAGTAATATAAAATTACAGTCAACACCGATTCGTGATTTTTAAGCAAACGATTTTGCTTTCAGTGGCCGTACGACGGTTAGGTTTAGACACTGGAGATTTATTTAAGGTGTATTGTGCCTTTACCTGCACAATGCAGTCTCATTTTATGGATGTGGAGAGGGGATGGGGGCATCACCACCTCCTCCGAGGGCTTGACTTATCACCTTGGCAACCTAACATGCTGGGCTGACAGGTTAATATGAAATTAGAACAGCTTGTTAACACTGTATAGGTAATAAGGAGCACGGTCTGCTTTGCCAGATGATAGACTGTAATAAGTTTTGCTTTTTTAAAGTTTCTGATGAAACCAGCCTCTGGTTGGAAAATACCAAAATAGTTCTCCAAGAACGTTGACCTGGTTTCACATCAAAGTTCCTTTGGAACGTATGGCCTTTAAAACTTCTTGCTATACTTTCATCTACAGCATCAAATTAAGGTTTTGCTAATCTCAAAGTGACAATGTGGTAGCTTTTATATATACAGGGAGAATGTGAAGCTTGCAGGTGTTGCAGTATAGCTGCTGTAAGTTTGTTTCAGTATTGGCATCCATTGAAATACTCCCCAGTTGGTAACATAGAGTGGAAACAGATCCATTAAAATTCAGATATTTAATTATTGCCCCAACTGTCCTTTAGTAAGTAGGTATTTTAAGAGTTTTATGATACGTGGACTCAAAGTCAAACAGCTGGAAATCTGGACTCTGAATAATGTAGATAAAGATGAATACATAAAATATACTCTCCCTGCAGAACTACTGTGCAGAAATTATCAAAGTTCTGCAATTTTTCCTGCAGTGAGTCAAAGAAAGATAAAGCTATGACAGATACATCTCAGTGTAATATTTTGTTGTTCTGTTACCTTAGAATAAAGACATTTTCAGCAAGTTAATTATGTCTTTGATAAGTTTTGGGTAAATGAACAATAGCCAGGGATGTAAAAACATAAAGCATACCTGTTATAGTATTCCATACTAGCAAGACATGAATCAAAAAAATAAAATATTAATAATCTTAATAAATAGATCAAATTTGTTTTTATTGATTCTGGTTCTAAATGGTCTGCATAAAACAAAAATAACCAGAGAAAATTCACTTCCTGAAAAAAATGCAGCGTGAATGCTTACTGCTGAATGATTTTTGCTGAAAGCTGCTGAAGAAGTTGAAACCAGACTGAAGACGTTTCATCGCTAAACTGCTAATGAAAGTTGAATTTGAATATAAGAAATTTGCTGAAATCAGGCAAATAAAATCAGAATTGAGTAAAAAAAAGCAACAACAAAAAAACCCACTAGAAATGTGTAGAAAAAGCTGAATAGAGCAGAAATTAGCAATAGTTGAAACCAGGGATGCACCAAGCCACTTTTTTCACTTCCGATACCGATATCTGAGGTTTGGTATCAGTATCGGTACCGATCTGATTTGTTTTTTAAACGCAGACATAAATGTACTGAATTACCCATTTATTGAAAACTCTGCACACCAATAGCTTCACCGTGCAGTTCAGGTAGCGCCGTCTCCAACAAATATTTTCGGCTTATCATGTCAAAACGTGGCTCCAGGTGGTTAATTAGCAGCCGGAATCCCTTATCCCCAACAATTGAGAGCAGCTGCCCATCCATGACAATGAAGTTCAGTATCCTTCCAGTGATTTTTGTTGCCTGCACACTATTAGGTGGAAATTTTTCACCTCTTTTCATCTCCGTCAAAGTTAGCTACTTCATGCCGCCTCCTTTTTCTTGATTCCGTTCAATGAACGCAGCGTGCTCTTCAGGGTGAAATCTCAGGAGATGCTTGATTGAGTTAGTAGCTGAAAGTTTTAGTGCCACCCCTTGGAACAGTCGCTGCGCACGTATTGCACGTAGCTGTCGAATGTGTTGGCTGAGGTAGTGTGAAATAGTTCCAGATGGCTGATCCTTTCGCTCGCTCCATTTTGAAAACAATTTGTGCAGCGAGTTTGCTAGCACACGACGTCGCTCAGAACACAAAGCATAGATCTAAACTGAATAGATCTGCCCTTATGGATCGATCATATTTTCACAATACCCGATCAATTATTTTCTTCAATATCCGGACCAATACAGATATTTCATTCAACCTTTATTTAGACAGGTAGATCCCATTGAGCCTCAATATTAGATATCAATATGGAATCGGTGCATCTCTAGTTGAATCAGGTAGAGAGGCTGAATAGATTACAAACATCTGAAATGAGCAAAAAACAAATTTAAATGAGCATAAAACATGAAAAAAAGTAGCTTAAAGGCAAAAAAAAAAAACTTAAATTACCAGAACCATGCTGAAATAACATACAACACTTAAATTATTTGAAATAATCACAAAAAGTGAAATTTCCAAAAGATTAACAGGAAATGTTATAGTAGGGAGCTGAAACATGTGATTTAGCAGAAATAAACTGAAAAAGGAAGAAAAAAACTAAAATGAGCAGAAAAAAAGCTGAAAGGAGCAGATGGAAGCTGAAATTAGCACAAAACAGCTGAACCAGAACAAAAGCTGAAATGAGCAGTAGAAGGTTGTAAACAGCAGGTTTGACGGATGTGA